CAAAGCCCTCAAGCATCACAGCTATCTTGCCATTAGGCAGTTAGCTTCAAGGCATGAAGCAAGAGTGACAGGTTCATGACACCTATGTCTGCTTTTGCTTTCCTTTGTCTATTTTCACAGCAGATCTGCCCAAGCAAATGGATAAAATAAATAAGGGCATATGTACTGAAATATCTCATTGGCTGGGAAAGAAACGTTTTGTAAGAAACATTTACTTCAATTATGCCTTTTTTGTCTAACAGATTTTGAGGGTTAAATCTGAAGCCCTCATGAAACAAAAAGTGTAGGCTTCTTCCTATGGTGAAGGCTTTCTAAATTGTCTATGATCAGTGATGGGGTAAAATTACTTTTAGGTTATCGTTCCTAGAGTAACCCAGTTACCATGGCTGGTTGCCATCTTGGCTGGGGAATTCTGGGAGTTGTAGTAAAAGAAGAAAAAAAAAACCTTTGCCCTTGACAAAGGCCCAAACTGGACATGATACTTGGTTCTCAATATATTATTGTCTCACTTGATAATCTAGGGTTTAAAAGCTCTGCTGAATTTGGTCCCCATGTAGCTTTTGAATCTTTTATATGCTGTCATTCTGCCTGCAAGAAAGACAGCCAAAGGAAATGAAAAGTGTTTGCCTGACAAAAATCCAGAATAAGAGTTTTGAATGCCTTTAGTTCTGAGTTTAATGAACCCAAGCTTTGAGGTCCTCCTAGTATCACTTTGTACCTAGTAGTTGTTAGAACGCCTAACATGTAGTTTCCCTATGAAACTAGCTTTGCTTGATGGTAGCATATTAGTTGTTCGCTCGTGTGCTTGATACCTAGTCTTGCATATTATGCATGACTCTTGTGCAGCTATTTAGTTCAAAGTGGAATAAATAATCTCTCTCTCTTTTTTGCTCAATTTGACATGCAACATCGAAGGGTAAGTTGTCACTAAGTTTTCAAAGAGGTGGTTGTGTAATTTGTTTCAGCATATGTAACAAAAATAATAATAATAATAAGTACAGTGGTAGCCTAAAGACAAATATCCTGTAATTGTATTCGCGAAGGCTTTCACGGCCGGGATCTAATGGTTGTTGTGGGTTTTTCAGGCTCTTTGGCCATGTACTGAAGGTTGTTCTTCCTAACATTTCACCAGTCTCTGTGGCCAGCATCTTCAGAGGACAGCACTCTGTGCTCTATGCTACCAGGGTGCTGTCCTCTGAAGATGCCGGCCACAGAGACTGGTGAAATGGTAGGAAGAACAACCTTCAGAACACGGCCAAAGAGCCCGAAAAACCCACAACAACTATCCTGTAATTATTTCATTATAAATTTTTGTAAAATAAATCTGTCAGTCTTTCAGATGCCACAGTATTTTGTTTTTCATTACTTAGTTTGTGTTGTGATCAGATTTTTATAAAGCTGAGTCTGCACCATAGATTTTTGATGTAACGAACAATTATTATCCTCTCATGCAAACCTTATGTAGACGACTGCTTTCCTGCCCTGCAAGTGGTAATAAGTTTAGTACTGTTGCTGGTTCACAGTATGGTTCACAGCAACAGTGATTCTTTACATTGCAAGTGGATGCAAATTGCAGTTTATCACATGGCAACTTAGCACATGTTAAATGTTTAGCTGATGTTCTTAAATTCTCCTGTCAGGTCATGAAGAAAATCACTGCAATTCTGTATCCAACCAGATAAAGAAACAGGATAGCAGTAGATTCTCCTCAGGAGACCATAGATTACTTAACCTCGGAGGTACAGGATCCATTAAGAGTTTCCATCCTGTGACTGGGATAAGGCTGTGTCCTTCACTTTCTGGAGTTACTGGGCATTCCCAAAGCCAGCTCTGGAAGGCTGAGAAGCCCATCAGAGCCATACCTTGGGACAATGTAGAGGGCTACAGTGTGAAAAGGAAAAAAGTTCCTTCATACTAGTGGCCATGTGCTAGTTAGTGTGACATTGAAGGTAGACCCAAATGGTTATACAGTGGTGCATCGACTTACGAACTTAATGCATTCCAGAAGATGGTCGTAACGCGAAATGGTCATAAGTCGAAGCACCATTTCCCATAGGAATGCATTGAAACGTGATTAATTTGTTCCGGCTGGAAAAACACCAACCCCCCCAAAACAAAAAACAAAAAGCAAGCCCTATTGGAATGTGTTGGGGCTGGGGGGAAATGCCAAAAACAACAACACTGCAAGCCCCATCGGAACTCATTGGGGCCAAACACACACACACACACACACAACCCCATCGGAACTCATTGGGGCCAAAAAAACACACACACCAACACACACACACATGCACACACACATCACAGCACAGAAACATAACCCCCCCAAGCCAAAACCCACACTGCAAAATCCTGTACTCACCCAGAACAGGCATTTTAAAAAGCAGAAAGCAACACCAGGCAGTCCAAAGCCTCCTCTGAACGCACACTCTCTAACCTCTGGGGTGAAAGAGCTACAAAGAAGCAGCCTCTTTGCTGACCAACGATTAGCAATTTTAATTCCCCACCTTTTTCCCTGCCTTTTTTTGTTCACAACTCAAAGCTCCGGTCGCAGGTCCAAGCAAAATTTTGCATCTGGAGCTGGTCATAACTTGAACTGGTCATACGTCAAGGCACCACTGTATGAACTTCAGTGGTAAGTTGCTACTGTGCAAGAGTTGTCTCAAAATATGCAGTGTCACACAATTCATTGTAGTGAAAGACAACTGATAAAATCAGAGATTCCTCTCAATGCATGTAGTAACTGATAGATTGGAAGAGTTAATATTATATTTGTAGAGTAGTGTTACCCTAAGACATGTGCCTAAATCAGATATTCTCCTAAACCAGTTCAACTGACCACCCAGATTTATCTAATTGCAAATTTCAATCTCCTTAGCATAGTATAAACACAACAGCACCTCTAACGTTTGCCACAACATTCCTTGTAGTAGAAGAACTTGGTGTTGTTTCTTGATCCTTAGCAAAGATTTGTGATGCTTTCCCCCTGGTAGGCCAAAAGTAAATTAGTCTCAGATAAGTAATATGAATTACTCAGAGTATATAATTACTTAGAAGTATTTGGGGACTATAGTATGATGAAACTGTATAACTGTCAAAGAAATATATACAGATGTACAGAAATTAGAGGTTGTATACTACTAACATTTCTTTAAAATTACGTTTGCTTTTCATTCTTAGAACAAGATGTTTTAATGCTAAAACAGAGACAATCCTATGCATTTGCTATATTGAAATCAGGTCCGAAAGCTTGATCCTATTGTTTGAGGGCCTTATTTAGGCAGTCGGCTATCAAATACACCATGTGGATCTCTCCATTAGAGTACGAAGTTTATTCCTACCTTGAGCGGCTTTGTATTGTACCTCTTACCTCTTTTAACATGCATAGCAAAAATAAAACAAAGCATCTTTAAGACTGACCTATTTACTGTGGTGTGGTATTTGTGCATTATAATTCATTTCTTAAATTATGGAGTGCAATCATGAGGTCAGAGCTTTGTATAGACAGTACAGTATATAACACCACATTGGGCAGGTGGGAACCAAATGAAATGGGAATAAGGGCACAGATAATGAACATCCAAGATGTTAATACTATTATTAACACATGTAATGAACATCCAATTTTTTTCTTTTTCTTTCTTTTTTGTTATATATGCTGAAATAGATCCTCACGGGTACCTCTTTCAAAACTATTGCAATGGAAGGCATTATATTTTTAACAGGAGTGTGTAGGAGGTTCATTTCAAGTGATCTCAGTATCAGGCACATTGTACGAATGCCATGATGAGCAGTGTTTCCTTACACTATCTTTTCCAGAGGTTTTCATTGATATTGTGTGACTGGTTACATTGTAGGCATCCTTCATCAAAATCTTAAACTACTCCCTACAAAATACACTTAGGGCAATACTAATCTTGCCAATATTTTCATCTGGAAAAGCTGGGGAATATGAAAAGATGTTACATAGTTGGGTGGACGAGAGAAGACTATTCTTCTTGTGGCCTTAACCTATTTCCACATGCAGGTGTTTTTGAGCTGAGTTCCATGACATATCTCCTTTTTCTCTGCTTTATCAGCATCTTTCATTTTACACTGCTAGAATCATTAAACAATTAGTAGTAGTTCAGCATATGGCGGACATTGTCTCGTATGACCTGACCTGCTGTTTTGTTGTCATATACTTGAAAAGGTGGTGGCAAAATCAATCACTGCATTTGGCTAGGAGTAGGGACTGTTTTAGTAGGAAGAGGCTCAACCACCTTGGCATGTTTGTGTGTTACATGCCATGAAGTCATAAACAATTTATGGTGACTCTTAAGAGGGCTTTTGAGGTAAGTGAGATATTTAAGTAGTGGTTTGATTAGTTCCACAACCCCACTAGTTTCCCATGGCTGAGTGGGGATTCAAACCCAGGCCTTCTGAGTCCTAGTTCATCTTGGCAGGTAGCCACATATCATGACTTCTAACCATGTTAAGGCAAGACACAAGTTGCCATCAGACCTCAGTGAGCAAAGCCTGTGTCAAGTGTGGTGCTTGTGTTTAGGAGCTAAAGCACTCTTAAAACCTAATTGTGCCTCATACAGAAATATCAGAACTCTCTGTAGTATCGTCATTGCTTTGTGTGCCCCAAGACATTAAACTATTACTTGGAATTCTATTTAAAAAAACACTTGTTGAAAGATAATTTTGAGAGAACAGTGTGTTTAGCATGTCTGGTTTTGCTGCTACTTCTGTTCTTTCTTTCTGGGTCTATCTTCTATGTATTCTTCAATAAGAGTTCAATAAGAGTTCTTCAAGTACGTAGTACTATACATTCTGTACTTGTAAGATCCACTCATACTTCAATCTGTATGGTACCTTCAAAGGTTCATAGAGATTAGCATTTTACATTCATTGTAACTTCACATATCATTTTTTTCCCTGTGCTCACCTTAAGAGAGATAACTGACATACTTGTGAGGGAAAAAATCAATTTATTTTTCTTTTCTCATGAACAGAGAGATCCTGCAGTTTCAGCTGATGTTTCCATCTCTAAAAGTGCCCTGTACTCTCGGATAAGCAGCTCGGAGGGAGAAAATACCTCAAGTTTGCTCTATCAACAGCAAGACTTAGATTCTGCCTTGAGAATTGCCCGGGAGGAGGTAATTGAAATCTTAACAAAAATCCTAATATTTTATCAGTTGATGTTTCTATATGCAGCTGCTTTGAAGTAGCATGTTCTTTTTCCCCTTTGTTTTTCTTCTTTTTTGAATTGTGCATTAAAATAAATAGTGTTGCAGTTTTGAGTCAGATCAGAATTAAGGCTCATTACCTCTTATCCATGATTGGGAGAAAAATGGTGTAGGATCATCCTTTCTACTTTTGTACAGGATTTTTCCCTCACCACTCTTAAAAAGAGCTCAACAACATATTCCATGGATAACTCTATCAGCAGCAGGCTACTGATCGATCATTTAATACTACAACATCACTAAGAGTTGACTAGAATTATGTCTGGAAAGGCCCTCAAATGTATATCTTTTTTTTTTCATTTCACAATCTGCATAATATTTTACAAGAAATTCTGCCCCACTGTAAATTATGTAATGTCGCCTATTATCTATTTATGACAATAACTGCCTGATGTAGAAAATAATGGCTGGGACATGCATTACAGCTCTTTGTACAGCTGCTTCGTGTAGCTGGCAGAAAAACACATATGTACACCATATGTGTTCCTTGATTAAGTGTATGTACTTAGATGTATTTGGTCAGAATTTGGCCAAACAGCTCATAATGCTGCAACGTTTGCATCTGCATTGCACATGTAGATGAGGTTATGATTTTAGAATTTCCTGACATTGTGGGATGCATCTTCGTGAGTTAGAGGAGGGAGAATCTTGGAAAGCTCAATATATTAGATTATGTATATGACACAATAGCTAGAATGGAGTCCAGACAAAGGCATAATTGTGGTCCAGAGCTGTATATGCTAACATCGATGAACCATCCCTTCCAAATTTCTGTGAGAATCTCATATCTATAATAAAACCTGGATATAGAATTTCCTCTCTTTGTTCTTCTGTCTCTCTTTCTATTTTTCGCACCTCTCTTATCCTTAGCTTGTTTGGAAACGATGCAAAATGGTTTTAACATCTTGCCTGGTTCTGCTGTCACTTTTTATAATGTTATGTGACAAAACACTTCGAATCTTTAATCCAGTTCTTTCCTCTTTTGTTAACAGATTGTAGCTAAGGAGAGAGAAGTATCAGAATGGAAAGAGAAATATGAAGAAAGCAGGAGGGAGGTCATGGAAATGAGGTGTGTTTTGATCTCTTCTCTAACTCTGTTCCCAGAAGACTATACGTAACTGCTCTTAGAACATGTAGGCTATGTTACAGGCATATGAAATATAATTGCTCAGCATTTTAATATGGTTTTTTATTTAATTTTTTTGCACAAGACTCTTTGTAATGAGAAGAGAGCACATTGAGCAGGGCCACCAATGAAGAGTTTTAGTTTGGGCAGTTTTGAATGCAACAAGGCATGCTTTAGGGATACACCTTTCATTGAAGCCTTAGCCACATGTCTTGGGACTATTTAGCACTCTTTTATAATATCACACAAGCAGTAGTTCAGTTGGTATAGGATTTTTCATTAAAGTTCACATGACCTTTGTGAGCTCATAAGTCCTTTAAATGTACAGTGTTTTATTTAAAGGTCTCCTACCACTTTTTTGTTAACACAGAAAGGCTAGGGTTATTTGATTTATTATGATGATCTGTCTCTTTTGAATTTATTGACAGATCCTGAAGTTACCTCAGTTGGAAAGGACAATATTCATTTTATTTTATTGTATTGTATTGTACTTTATTTTATATTTGGCAAAGCAAGGTAACACATGCGAGCTGTTTTGAATATGCATTTTGCAAATTGTGACTCATCACTGAAATGCTACGGATCAAGGCTAGTCACATTTCATTAGCCTGATTTCACTCTGGAAAAACATGGATCAGCTGCTTAAATCACTTTTAATCTGCTTATTCTAGCTAGCCTCTTTTTGAGAGCAATTTCAAAACAGGATGTTCAGTGTGTGTGTGAGCGTGTTTTGAAGCAAGGACAGAGCTTTAGAACAGTCATTTTCTTTAAAAGGTTTATAACTGTATCTCAAAACTGGAGCACTCAAGGATTTGCCATGACATCACAAATTCTTTTTGCATTCCTTAAAAGAAGAATGGAAATGCTAAATAATTTTAACAAGACCAAATGGGATACATGGGGGAGGGGAATCACCACCCTCCCCTCTTGCCTCCATCACTTCCTGGTGAAAGCAGCTCCATGCTGCAACTGCGAGCATTCACTAGGTCTTCATACGGAATAGCAAAAGGACACAATCTGTTCTCTGCTGGAACCAGTGGTAAAACCTTCCTTGATTTCTGATATATTTGGACCAGTTCCAGAAAGTTAATTACATTTTTAATTATAAAGTCTTCAATGCCTTACCACTTCAGGTCTTCTAATCTGTAAAGCTCAGAACTCATGTAGTGTTTAGATCTTTGGTGTCATGAGGCATGGTAGGTATCCTTTCTCCCCAGAGTGATGATACTTATAATAAACAATTTGTAAATTGCTTCCAGATTAGGTTAAGTGCAAGGAATCCCAAATTGTGGATCTGGAAGACATGTAGCCAATAGATCCTTGATGAAAGACTTCTTGGGTCTGTGGACCGTTTGAACTATGGAAGCAGGAGATGTATGTCGCAGGACACAGGACACGATACACAGGTGGTAGATTCAGAAGTGGGGAGTGTATTCTATATATAATAGTTAATCCTTACTAAACTAGGTGACACTGTCTTACTGTCAGAAAGCAGCAATGACTTGAAATGACTTTTAGTGAAAGTGTAAACAAGAAAGTGCCAAAGCAGGACTGTAGTTAAACATGAAGACCAAAATCATGACTATAGAAGAACTTGCAACTCTGATGTTGACAATGAAGAAATTAAAATAGAGAAGGATTTTGTTTATCTTGGTTGAATCATCAACCCAAATGGAAGCTGCAGCCAAGAAATCAAAAGAAGACTGGGACTCAGAAGAACAGCAGAGAAGGAATTAGAAAAGATCATCAAGTCTTAGGATGTGTCATGGGAGATGAAGACCAAGATCATCTACACTCTTGTATTCCCAATCTCCATGTACGGGTGTGAAAGTTGGACAGTAAAGAAAGCTATGTACAGGTGCGAAAGTTGGACAGTAAAGAAAGCTAACAGGAAAAATTGAGTTGTTTGAAATATGGTGCTGGAGGAGCACTTTGCAAATACTCTGGACTGCCATAAAGACAAATAAGTAGATCCTAGAGCAAATCAAGCCAGAACTATATCTGGAGGCAAAAACGTTGAAGCTGAGGCTGCCCTACTTTGGGCACATCATGAGAAGGCAGGATTCTCAAGAAAAGACAATAACGCTGGGACAGGTTGAGATTAGAAGGAAAAGAGAAAGACCAAATACAAGATGGATCGAGTCCTTAAAAGAAGCCAGAGAGGTTTGAATTCACAAGAGCTGAGCAGGGCTGTTGAGGACAGAACCTTCTGGAAATCGCTCATTCATACAGTAGGATCACAACTTGATGGCACATAACAACAAACTAGACTAGACCCAGTAGATGAGCGGAACTTCCATAAATGGTGATTTAACAAATCTAATTCATTCGTTAGGGCTGGTCTAGTAAAGATTCACCTCACTGGATTCAACTCCACGAGTTCCATAATCCCACCATATACTACAAGCAGATTATATTGTGTATGGATTTAGATCAGGGCAGAGGATGTGTAATCCTCTGAATGTTGCTAGACTGCAGCTCCCTTAATCCGCTGCAAGCAGTGCCAGTGGTGAAGGATAGTAGGAGTTGCAGTTTATCAATATTTAAAGGGCTATGAATTCACAAATGAAAGCCAAATGTTGCTGTGTTGTAACCCAACAATATAGCTCACATTATATATTTTAAAACTATTTAGTAAGGAGATGTCATTGTACAAAAAATAACTTCTGCAGATGCATGTTCATTGTCTTTTCTTCCCTCTTATAGGAAAATTGTTTCAGAGTATGAGAAGACAATCGCTCAGATGATAGGTAGGTGTTATCACACAGATAGATTTGTATGTTCTTGTTCTCATGAGAGACAGTTGGAACATTTAAAAAATGGGCTCCACTTTTGATTTGAAACATACTTTTCTTCGGCCTTGGCTTTACAAATCAGTAAGTATTTTGTGATTGTCAGGGAGGCAGGTGTCAGTCCTGGTAAATTCGTGAAACTGAGACATAAAAGTTCAGGAAAGCATAATAACTTGCATGTCAGATTTTGCACACGTAACATTAACATCCTGAATTAAATTCACTGTTGCATTTTTTGATGTTTCTTCCATCATTGTGTATAACTTTTATCAGAATAGCAGTGTAATTACTAAGTCCAGGGGTGATTTATTTAATTCTCCACGGACAATCTGTGATAGCATTCAGACAGAAGTTTATTACTGCAGCATCCAAACCCGCAGATGTGTTGGGTAAAGATGCATTTAGCAACTGGCAATCTGATCCTGAGCACCTTAATCACGCTCCAAGGCACAATACAAGGCAGTCAGTGTTCACAGCAGGGCACAGCAGGCCACTTCGTTCTTGGGGATTTCAAGAACAGTCCCTGATGCAGTGCACAGAACTGCTCTTAAGAAAATGGGTCAGAAGCCATACTGCAAATGTGCAACACCAGACACATACCTAAAGGTCCACTTGAGGATTGTTAATATTCATTGGCTGAAATCCTGTTGCTTAGTGTTATAAGTTGCACTAGAGTAGACCTATTGGATCTGTGGAGATTTGGCAAGTCAACTTATTTGTACGTCCCATTGATTCAGATGGACCTATTCTATTTGTAACTTCAGTATAGTAAGTTGCAACTAGAGTGGGTGCATTTAAATTAATGAGACTTGTGGAGTAGTTGATGCCCTCAAATCCCCACTGAATCAGTGGGCCTACTCTAATGTGATTTACTACACTAAGCAACAGGATTTCAGCCACTTAAAAGCTTGCTACATTGATTATAGTGACTTTTACTTCCAGTAAAATGTGCATAGATACCACGATCTTTTACCTTAGTGCATAGGTGAACAAACCCAGCATAGGATTTCAGCGAACCATGTTATGGAACTGTAGATGCGTATGTGTATGTGTGGAATGAAGAGTTTAGAAGACAACTGAATAACTAGTAAACTTCACCTCAGCTCCTTTTAAAAAAAAGAAGAAAGATTCAGAACAATTTTCCTCGTTTAGCAATAGCAGCCTTAAAGGGATTTTTTTCCTAGTTAATTTGGAAGTCAGTATTTGTGAACTGAAATGATTGCTAGTCAATATTTCCTCAGCTATCTAGATAAATATTTTCTTAGTATACCTAGTCTTTTAGAACTGGAAGTATTGTGGAGGACATTGTTGGGTTTCATACTCTTGGGCTAAGCCATTTCACTGGAAAATATTGAAACTCAGTGGAGCTTTATTGGACTGATGGAATACACTGGTAGCTTGCAATACACTAGAATGCTTATGGGACTGAATGTTTGAGTCTAAAGAAGCTTGAGGTACAGCGTGTAAAAGTTTATGTTCTGGATATTTGATCATTAAAGGGCTACTGAGCTTAGATAGAAGCTTGAAATATATTATTTAAATAGGAGGATTTTTTTGGATTAGAGTTAAAAATACAAATACAGACTTGCTTGTAAAATCATCTGGTTAGTCTGATGTTAATTTTGATCTGTTTGTTTGCCTCAGTGCTTGTGTAGTCTATTTCTTTTATTAGTCAGAGTTTATCATACACTTTTATTAGCAGTTTTCAAGATGTATTCTGCATGTGTGTCTTGTTCTGATGATGTTTGTGCTGCAAAAGATAGGGAAGCACTTAGATTTGCACAGAATTCCACACTGCTAATGTTTTCTTTTTCAACTCTGTGGATTTGCTTTCCCAAAATTAAGGAAGATATATACTTTGAACAGTTCTTCTTGTGGTTTAGTCCATTTTGCCTCTCACTTCTTTCTCTCTTCCCATGAGTAAGTCTATGAATATTTTCATGGTGCAAAGCACCACTGTGGTACAGTAGAAATTGTGATCTATTGATTACCTTTTTAACAAAGCACTTTAGATACAATCCTCAAATAATTCAGAGCCAAGCTTCCTTAGAGTATGAACATGGCTTCAGATCATCCGTGGATATTGTATAATATTCCATGCTGACTTTTGGAATTGTGAATATTGGAACGATTCAGTGAATATATGACTTCCGAACATGGATTTTCATTTCTCTTCATTTTCTTATTGAAGTCTTTTTAGACTACATAAGAAACTTGGGTCCATAAGCCGATTTCAGCTCATGTTGCTAGCCTATCCATCGGACAAAGAGTAGTTGGCTGAAGCTCCACTTTATTCTCAAAATCTCCATTCCCCTCACTGAAGGTGAAGTGTGTAGAACTGCAACTGAAGACTTGTCCACATAGAGACAAATATATCTGCCTCAGCATTCTTCCTTTCATATATATTTCCCACTGAATGGACAATTCAAGGCTAAATTCAATTTGATCCATGCCTTTTCCCTTGCCTCCCTTATTTTTAAAAAAATGCCTCTTGGAAGCTTATATTATTTTGTACCAGGCTTTGTTGTAAGAGGAAGGTATAGCTTAGCAGTATATCATTTCCCTGTACCGAGTTCATTCCCATGACAGAGGACCCTGGTTTAGAAGTCTTTAATTTCCTCTGTGTCAGCTTTTAAAATAGGGTTTAAAAAAACACACATTTGGAAGCAAAACATCAGCGCCAAAAAAACTTATACATTTCTTTTTCCAGAAAACCTAGAGGAGTAATGTTGAAGGACATAGCTTTTGTAATACAGTGTAGACAGCAGTACTGCTAAGTTCTGGTTCCCTTCACAACAAATTGTGCTTATCTGTGTTAAACTAAAAATTCCCTCTCTTCCCCCTCCTAGATATCCTGATAGGCTGCTGACAACAGGCCTTGTGACACCATTTTATTAAATACTTCCCAGGCAATTTAACAAACAAGAGATGAAGGAAAGGGCAAACGAAAAAGCATCCCAAGCTTTCAGATCTTGTCTTTCCTTAAAATGAAATATTTGGATTTTACAGACTCTCTTTTGGAATTAAACAATGTTGAACTTCAAAAAAGAAAGTAAGAGCTTCCTTCATGGGGGGAAGGTTTCCTGAAAGTCCCATCCCTAATTCTTAGCCCCCAACGTATGTCCCCTCACTTTCAATAAACTTTAAATGAGTGTGGTAGATGTGTAATCTCCAGAGCGACACACTTCTTTTTCTTTATACAGAAGAGGGACATTCATATAATTGAGCTGAGTTACATAAGAGCTTCCATGTGAAACGTTCACATCGTGCAATACTTTAAGTGTGAGATGAAGAGGAGAGGCACGTAGAAGGATCAAGGATGGGAGAAATGGCCTCTAACCATCACACCCTTGCCTACATGCCCTGATGAAATATATAGCAGGGGCATGTATTGACTTCGTGCTACACACACTGTGGAGTTAGAAATATTACTAGACTTCCTGAAAAGAATAATAGAGCCATCACACTGGTTTCTGCTTATACCGTGAAGAGACTCTTCTAAGCTTTTTATAAGCCTGCAGTTGAATGTATTTTGCTAATCCCTTCTGACTGATGGAATACGGAATTAGGTCATACAGTCATGAAAAATCTTTAAAGAAGTAACACACAACTGCAGTTCTTGCTGGTGGCAGCAGCATAGATGCAAAAATCTCTGGTTGCTTGTAAAGATCTGAGTATAAGACAGGAGCTTCGTTGAGTTGTGTTTGTGCAGCTCCCTGGTATCTTTGGTGTGTGCCTTTAACAGGCCTTCTGCTTTACTTTCCTTTGTTAAACGCTACATTTTTTTTCTCTGTCTCTGCCTATTTAGCATGTGTGTGCATTTACTTTCCTTTGTTAAACCCTACATTTTTTTTCCTCTGTCTCTGCCTATTTAGCATGTGTGTGTGCATTACAAAATTTTACTGTGTTTCATTTGTGCCCCTTGTGTGCTCTGCTTCAGCTTCAGGTGCCATTCATGAACAGAAACATATTTTAAAAGCTCTAGGCTGGTGTATGGAAACATTTTTTAAAAATTGGCTGATTGACAGCAAAACCTACAAAATGGAATACCTCCTATTCTAAAAAACGAACAGTCCACAAATGATGTGGGTTCTCTTTGAATGGTTCCTGAGCCCCTTGTCCTGGATATTTTGTCAGGGCAAATTCCATACATAGCATTCTTTCCCCTCCATGTTTACAGTTCCTATTCTCCTGTTGAACCATTCATCCACGTTTGTCTACCACCCTTGTATTTGGCCGCCCAAAAAAATTCATCAATTCAAGATTATTATGCTGTTTAGCTCTTAATCATGAAATTAAAGGAATATTGTGCTTTCTGCTTTACAGATTGTTGTTTTTAAGTTTTTCTGCTTTCTTAATAAATCCCCTGATTTTTCTATTTTGCTTCCATTTTTGTTGCTTCTTGTTCTTTGCTTGCAAATCCAAAACAAAGGCAAGCCTGGTAAGTAATGCTTTTGCCAACTTTGGCACCTGCATATTGCAATTTTTCTTTTGCTTTTATTCTGTGTATTTCTGTATCTTCATGGGAATACAAGAGAAAGATAACTAATAACTTTTGGAAAAAGTGGTAGATCTCTGGTAGTGAGATAATAATAATAATAAATGTTTTATTACTGTCATTGACCAGCAAAAGTAAGGAACATTATTTCAATTAGGAAACATAAAATCAATCTTAAAACACTATATTCTAGCTTGCATAGAATGACAGAATTATTATTTTGAAGCTCCTAGAGCCTGTGTGATCATTAAGGCCTCTACATGTATACATCAATTTACGGATACTATAGCTACACATTGGGTGGAACCTTTCCTTCATGGATTTTGATTGCAGCAGCACAGAATTTAGCTACTTTTATCAGCATATTTGAATTTTGGTTTAGCCCAGTATATCTGCCAGTGCATCGCCCTGTCAGCAAAAGCAGTGTGTAATGTGCCTCTGGTCATCCAGGAAATGCCCTTATGTAAGGGTTAACAAGGACTTCTTGAATGCCAGAATAAAAAGCACGATGAAGTAACACATGGGAGATAGTTTCAATCTCACCAGGGTTACAGGGGCATATACTCTGAGTGTAAGGGGTGTTGTTATACTTCCCTTCCTGGACTGCTGACGGAAGTGCATTGAAGCAGTCCAGAGTAAGAGCCTTGCATTGTTTATGTGTTAAGGGTAGGTAGAGGTATTTAGGCGGTTTGGGTGGGAGCAGTGTGTTGTCAAGTATCAGCCTATTATAATACCAAGGTCCTGCTGCCTTTCTGTCTCAATAATAGGCTAAGACTAGTCTTGGGCTTAACATATCCCATTGGTTGGATACATTCTACTGAATAGCCATATCTGTTGATTTTATGGTATATTGCTCTCTTCCAAGGTGACTGATGGTTATCCTGTAATACCAGTGAAGTCAGTCCAATTGGTTGAAAGGTTAATTTTAGCCAAAATTTAAAAATAGCCAGCCAAGCTCTGGCTTCAACCTTCAGGTAGCCTACTTCAAGCCTAAGGGCTACATTGGATACTCCTCTTGGAACTTGTAAAATAGCCCTCATGAATTTAGATTGAACTACTTAACTTGATAAATGAAGAATAGGGGCCCAGTTGTGCCCCATACAAGAGCTGACTAAGGGATTTGGCCTGAAAAAATCTTAGTGCAGCTGGAACGTACTGAACTTCCTTTGTATAGAAGAATTTTAATATAATGAGGCTCGATTTTTGTGTTGCTTGTACCACAGTGTGGTTTCCTTTATATTGAAAGACAACACCCAAATATTTGTAAGCTTTAATTTGTTCTATCTCATGCTCATCAATTAACCACTTATAGATCCTGGGCCTCTGAGCTAAAACTAAAACTTTGGTCTTCAAGTAATTTATTTGTAGCATTTCCTCTTTATAGTATTGTGTGTGGGCGCGTAATGCTGTCTTTAGTTCTATTGGTGTCTGTGAAATTAGGACTGCATCACCTGCATATGACAGAAGTGATATATATCTATTCGCTAGTTCCTGCATATAACAGAAGTGATATATATCTATTCGCTAGTTTGGGTGGATGGAACTCCGGATGGCCGAGCGCCGTTACCATTGAGTTGATATAAAAATTAAATAACAATGGAGCTAAAATACACCCTTGCTTCACACCATCATAGGTAGGAACTTTATCAGACAAGTGTCCATAAAATACACCCTTGCTTCACACCATTATAGTTAGGAACTTTATCAGACAAGTGTCCTTCTTTGTTGCATCTAATTCTGAGGGTTGTATCTCAGCGTGTGTCTACCCTACTCCGACAGGTGCGGGTAACCTGTTGAACCCCATTCGTGATGGGGATCAGATTGCAATTATTCCCCTGAATGGGATGTCTGGGGCTGCACACACACTACACTGAGTGGCAGTGAGATTCATTGCCCCTCTTTGCCTCCAGAATAAGGTGTAATAAGGCATATATTATCATTGCTGGCTGTTTTTCAGTGGTTGTAATGGCCATCTGCGTTGTTAGTTGTGCATCGTAAAAAGGCCTGTCAGAATTATTATTTTTAAACTGAACCATTTAAACCATTTTCCTATTAGCTTCTTGTCCACTTCAGTGTATATTTCAAGAGGAAGAGGAGACTGATGTAATACTCAGTTTCAGTCTGAGACTCTGTTAGCCAATTGCTAAGGCCAAGAGACATGCAAACTAAATTTGTGGGAAAAATTGATCTTTTCCATTACGGAGAAGATGTGGAGGTCCCGGATATTATGTCAGAAGTGTGACAGGGAGCACATAAGTCACTTGTGCATTATTTTTGTCCACTTTTGCATGATATCCAGAACTCTTCCACGTGATGTCTAATAATTTTATTTATTTATATATTTGGACCATAAAAGATTAGAGGATGATGGCTATGTTCCTACTGAACACTGGTGGCAGAGAAAGTATCACTGGCATAATTACCTAGAATCTGTGCTGCCTTCCACAGTGCATTTCAGAGGAGTTGCATGACAGGGTGCTAGAACAAAACTGAGAACCTGCTGACCATATGATTCATTGCTTGGATGTTCTGAATGCATAGAGGCCAGGCTAGATGCTTTTGAATTGGTTATGAGAAGTAAAGAACTACAATATCTTTGCAGGCTGTATGAGACATTTATGAACAGATAGACACAGGACTCTTAGTGTAAAGAGGGCTGAGAATACAGAATAAAATAAATGGGTTTCGGACATGGATTTTTGATCATCTTTACCAACACATTGATATATGAAAAAACCTCAGTGTGTTGTAATACATTTCTTCAAAGATCACAGGAGTGTATATCCAAGCTCTAGCAGATATTAAACAAAAACACTAGCAGTTTCGGTAGTGCGAAAGAAAGATGCAAGACTGAAGTTCTGAATCCTAATTAGATAACATCCTGTTCCAAAATAAAACAAAGCCAAATAAGCTCCCAAATATAATCCAAAATCCAAAGTGCAGGTTGTTGGTGTTTGATCTGCTCCCATGGTTTGGCAACCCCTTGTAAGACAGGAGGATACTCTGGAAGGCCATCCCATGATCTGCAGAGGTCTTGCTGTTTGGGGGAAATCACAACTCATTTAGGCTGAATGCCGTGCTTCTTGGCAGCAAGTAAACTATAAGATGAACATGTTTACCAAAAGGCTTGTGTTTTGAGGGCATTTGCTCAATAGCTCTGTGCTGATTGCAGTTATGTGGCCTGAAGGTGGACGTTTTCTAACTTGTCATCCTGCTTTTCCCTTACATCCTACTTGGGTCCCATTTCAAAGCCACAATTCTTTACAATCCTATAATGGAAGAGGGAACAATAGAGCAGCCTGGATGTCTCTTCTAGTTATATGCTGCTTAGACTTTTATCAACACAGTTAGGAGAAGAAATATCACAAATTATCTCCACTGCCCCTTCTTGTGGGTTGGAGGGAGGGTAGGGTTTTGGTTTTTTTGTTTGCTTATTTGTTTTTGTTACTGTGAATGTAACATTCCAGTTTTGTGGTATTTTTTTTAATAGGAGTTGTGGCTCTTAGTATCCCCAAGGCTTTCATAAAGTATGTGATGGCATATAGGGTGAAAATTAATATTTTAATTGAAAATTAGGTCAATATGGGTACGGAAGAGTTTCTGGTAAATGGCATCCTAGGGACTAACCCCATCTCATTGCTCAACAACATCCATACCACAAATAAAAAAATAAGATATGAGCTATCCACTGCTGTAAATCTGTGGGTAAAAAGTTCAGCCACATTCAGTAGCTGTAGTTTAAGCAATATAGTGGAAAACAAAAGAAAAAAAAGAGAGGCATAGGAAGCTAGTCCTACATTGTCAGCACTCACTGGCAGCAGCCCTAGTCTCTGGAGGTGCCCAGGATTAAACCTGGAACCTTCTGCATGCAAAGTATTGCCTCTACCATTGAGTTATGCATTTCCCCCAATACATACATGTATTAATGATATATGAGGAAATCACTTTTAAAGTTCTATTACTCTGTGGCTAGGCTAGGGAATAAGTTCCATTGAACTTAGAACTGAAGTTGCTTAGGATGAGGGTGCAAGAAAGCTGACATTTAAAATGTTCACACATGATGTGTATAAGGGGCATTGGAAAGAAGGTGAATTCATCACTTCTGTGTACTAACCCTAACCCATCACCCCCAGTTCTGATGACATGTCTGAAGATGTGATTGTAGAATTCTCCCACCGAAAGATGTGAACATTTTAGCTGTATTATAAGCCAACACGTTTGTTTAGATTACAGTGTGTGCATGTTGTCATTTAGAACATTATGTTGGAAGCAGGCAATATTTCAGAGGTTGCATGCCGGAAGGGAAAATCATAATGGAAATGGGCACAAGTTTTGAGTGCATATGCAAAGCATTGGAAAATTTGTATTATTTTATTGTTTATATTCATTGGAAGCCGCCTAGAGTGGCCTTTTAGGCCAGATGGGCGGGGTATAAATCAAATGAATCAAATAAATAAATAAAATAATTGCCCTTTACTTTCTGTTGTCGACCTTTCTGACAGGTTGTGATTGGGTGTTCATAGAAATTAATAGCATTATTATTCAGTGTAGAGTCTGCACTGCTGTGTATTAGTTTTTACATGTATATATTTATAAAACATTTGCATATACACATAAGCTGGTAATGTATAGATACACAAATATGCTTGTGTTACACAGAGACACCAGCTAGGGTGATGCAGTTTGTTGTAGCTCCCAGACAAGTAAAACATTTGATAACAACATTTTGAATGTGTCAAATGGCCCTGGAAGAGTCTTAATCTTTTACAGCAAAATGGTGGCATCATTTAGGGCTATTAGAAAATGTTTAAAATTATGCATGATGTGAAGGAAGTGTATAATGGAGAAAAGTGTTTCCCTCTTTCATTATGCTGAAGACTAGGATCATCCACTGAATTGTGGAATGTTTTGAAAAGAAGCATTTCTTCACATTCTATGTACTTATACTGTGGAATAAAATCTAGGGGATGGCCCTAAAGGTAGGGGGAGGGTTAGACAGTTTCACAAAGAACAAGATAAGTAATAACTACTAGTCATAAAAATGATAAATATGAGCCCCAGTAATAATATGCATGAGTAGAAGTAATATGTCTCTCTACGCCAGGTCCTGGGGAATAAAAATGAGGGAAAGCTATTGTCCTGGTCTCTTATTTTAAAGGCTTCCTTCAAACATCCGGTTGGCTACTGTGTGAGAGAGGGGTGCTGGACTGATCCAGCAGGACTCTCCAAAGGGTGTTAAAATTGCTTTGCAGAGATTTTTCTTCTTCCTTCTTTATGTCATTTGGGGTATTTCTTCAAAGTGGAAAGGCAAATCTGATTTGCTTCACTTACCACTTACATGAACCTAAATGACTCTTAAGTACCCCTAGTCCAGTGCCAAGTTTTCTGAGTCTTGTTGGTTTCAGGTGAGCTCATTTTTCATTGGCAGAAATCCTAACTTTGCTGAATCAGTGCACTGAGTAAAATTAAGTCTCTCAGAATAGCACAAGGGCAGGCTGAAAGAAAGGCACTTCCTCTATAGAACCTTTTCATTTGGATTTAGTGTCTGCTTTTGTGTAAGGAAGAAGCCAAATGGCATATCTTTGTTCCATTTAGTGTATCAGTATGTCAGTACTAAAGAGTGTGTGGCAAATTCAATTTTTTTCACCCACAAGCAAATAGTCTCTGGCTAAGTGAAATTTATTGTGCATGTTTTGACATGTTTCTGCAGGAGTTCATCCTGATGTTTAATATCTTAGATGAGGCACACTAAAAGGTGCTCATTAAAAAGCATTCATGGTTCTTACTAGAGTCCCTTCTATCATTGTTCCTCACAGAAGATGAGCAGAGAGAAAAATCCATGTCTCATCATACAGTCCAGCAGCTAATTATGGAAAAAGAGCAAGCATTGGCAGACTTGAACTCTGTGGAAAAATCTCTAGCAGATCTTTTTAGAAGATATGAAAAAATGAAAGAAGTTCTTGAAGGATTTAGAAAGGTGAGTTCCTGTGAAGAAGTGCTTGTAAACTTGTATTAAATTCAGAGGTTCTGATGTGTACGTAGATCTGTTTTACTCTGTGCTCCCGCACTCATTTCAGTGGAGGATCTGATTTCCACAGACACCAGTGGTGTGCAGATCACCTTCCACTGTTGAAATGGTTGGAGATATAATTGAGGGCAGGGGAATTACCTGAGGGTGTCAATGTTCAGGCTCTCTTTTCAAATACAATCTTGTTTACCAAGCACTTAAATGTATAACCACACCTGGCCCATGTCTTAGGGCTTCATCTGCTAGCAGAGCTTGACCTGGTAAACTAAAGGATGTCAGGGTGGGATTATGCCTATGGGCCACCCCCTGCTGTAGTTAAAGCAGATAGCTATAGAAAGGCCACTCAAGGTAACCCCTTTACACTAGTAGACTAGATGATGGATTGTGTAATACATCCTGACCTGTATTGAAGTTATTGGGTTCAACTACCTTCTTGTCACCCCCAGCTGGACCTACCATCTTGCATTCTTCTGTAAAGACAAAATATCCTGAAAAGTTTCCTCTATATAACCCATAGTAACTCTTTTAAATAGCATTGGTACATTTAATGAATCTTCAAAACAATTTGACCCATGGGCTAAAAATCTGAAGTAATAATTACTATAGAATTAGTCTATTGAATAATGTGATGTGTTGAACACTAGTTGGATGTTCTGTTTCTATGTTTCAAGACAGTGATAAGTCAATTAATGGCACAGCTTGAGTAGTAGCCCTTCTCCCCAAATCATGTAAGCTCTTTCCTGGCCCTTGTGCTCCCCTTATTGTCTCCTTATTCTCTCCATTTAAGAATGAAGAAGTATTAAAGAAATGTGCACAAGAATATTTATCACGAGTTAAAAAAGAAGAGCAGAGATACCAAGCCCTCAAAGTCCACGCAGAAGAAAAACTAGACAGGTATTTTAAACTGTGGGTGGAAGCCTGAGTCCCGAAATTTTGACTGAAGATTTTAGCCTAATCTGTTTGCATGTGTGGCCATCACAGCCTCTTCTGGGCTGCTAAGAGAAACTGTTTGTGTAGGTGGGAGAAACTCTGCTCATTAGCATAACTATTTTCCTGTTTTGCATGTTGTGTTTTTGTTTTTTGTTTGTTTGTTTACTTCTCATCTTGAAGTGGAGGGATATAGATCTGCCTAGACTGAATTCCTGAAAATCTTGCTCTGCCTAGTCTCTGCCAGCTAGTGGCACTAAGTCTTACCAGACATAACACAACGAAGAGGCATTTAAAAATAAATAAAATCTGAGAATTTTCTAAATTCTTTCATATCCAGTATTAAATGTGGTACTTCTGTAGTATGATTTGCTCAGGTATAGCATACATACAGCTCTGCTTTATAGTGAATTTCAAATAAAGTCTAGATTATGTGTCACAAGGCCCTGTAGTGTTCCTTCCACAGTTACAAGGATGGGTGAAACGCCATCTTGTCTTAGCAGCTGGTAGCTTTTAAATCCAACTTTTCCAAGGATGCAGTCCAAACTGGCAAATTTCCCTACTGCCCCTCGTCCACGTCTTTAAATATTATGAGTAGACTCCAGAAGGAAGACAAAATGTCCTTGGCATTTACTCCAGTGACTTGTACCTCCTCAGAGCCAATGCTGAAATTGCACAAGTTCGTGGCAAGGCTCAGCAAGAGCAAGCAGCTTACCAAGCCAGCCTCCGCAAAGAGCAACTGAAAGTGGATGCATTGGAAAGAACACTGGAACAAAAGGTGACTCCCTGGGGATTGTCTCATAAAGCTGCCTGTTGGCGGGTGGGGTGGGGGGAGCATTGTTTTTGGTACTGGCAAATCCTAAATCGGTTGTGGACATATACAAATCTAGAACAGGAGAATTCTGGTTTATTCTTCCCTGGGTAAATGTTTCTAAAGTAAGGCACAGCAATTTGCCCATTGCAAATTATGGAGTGGTCGCCAACAGTGAGAGCGGGATGAAATTCACTCTGAACTGTAAGCATACAATAGAATAGTTTCAGTAAAGTGTTATAATATGCCAGTTATATCAAGATCACTTGGTAGAATAGGGCATGTTAGAACACTAAGTTAATGAGTCTGGAAGAATTTGTTCATTTGTTTATAATTTCTTTCTTTATATTATTTCTCTGTCGCCCTTTCCCCAATTACAGGAAAAATATTAACTGTGGAGTATATATTATGAATATACAGCAGTGTGGAGATTTGTAGTAAGAGCTTCCCTGTGGCAGCTCTTCTATGGTCTGGCTGTAGCGGTTTGGTTACAGATAGGTTGAGATCCACAGTTAGTCATACTTTGAGAAGACGTGCTGATTTAAGAGAGTCTGCTTTAAATAGATCTAAGTCAGGATAGTTATGACATGCAGCTTTATTTATCTAGCTAGTTAATCTACTCCAGTTTCCCGAGACAAAGGTGAGCAAGGTTCACCTGCAGAGTTCTCCATTTTTGCAGCTGCAAAAACTGATAGAGGTATAGGCTGTGTTCTGTATTTTGATGACAACTGGGGCAGTTTTTATCTTCAGGCTCACGCTACCCCAGCTAGCCCACTCCTGCCTGCCTTTTTACTAGTGGTAGAGGGTCAGGACTCCACCTTGTTCCCTTCTTGCTGGATCCCTACCCTCACACTTTGTGTGAATGTGTATAGGGCAGAGGCGGGAAAAGAGGGAAAGCATCAGCAGGAGGGAACATGGGGGCAAGGTGGGTTTTTGTTTTGTTTTGCTCCTCTGTTGTGTTGTGAAGCAAATGAATGGGGCCAGCTTAAGGCAGTATCTTGAGTGAACGCCTGCCTTTGTGTGTGTGTGTGCCTCTGAATGTGCATATATGTTTGTGCAAATATTCCCTTTTGCTCCAGCTCTGCCCTGGTGCTATGCATCAATAGCCTTCCACTTCACCAAACAGAATGGCAAGCACCTGCCACTGCTGCTTCTCAGCTGTGCCCTCACTTGTCATCCGGTCTCTAAACCAGCTGTTATCTCTGCAAAAAGATCCAAGTGTAGGATGACACCAAAAAATATCATATTTGATCAATGCGTTCACTTCTCAGATCAACTCGAAGCCCACAGAGGAGAGAAATCTCACATCAGATCAGTATTCCTGCTTCAGTGCTGGGCCCAAGGCTAAGTTGCAAAACTATGAAAAACAAACAAGCAAAAAGTGGGTGTTCTTTCAGTGCTGGGTCTATACTCCTCAGTCCTCTCAACGTCTCCCCTTCAGAGGATCAGGATGCTACTCATCTGGACTGCTGTCATGTCATTAGCTAAAGGAAGGGGGGTGGTCTATTCAAAATGCAAATACAGCCTTGCACTAACCAATGCTTACCCTCTTTGCTGTATATTCCTTTTTCAGAATAAAGAAATAGAAGAATTGACAAAGATTTGTGACGAACTGATTGCTAAAATGGGGAAAAGCTAACTTTTAACCAAAATCCTGGACTTCAACCTTGAGTGCAATATGACCATTGGCACACTGATGTCCACATTTTGATGTGCACAGGATCTATTTTCACTTTTTTGTATGCACTACTGTATTTTTTTTCTTTCTTAATAATGTTGATTTGATTGTATGCAGTACTAAGAAAGACTATCAGAATTCCTTGCTATTGTTTGCAGTTTTTTTTCCTAGTATAATCCATAGCAAGTTGATCTCAAAAGTTCCTGTATCAGGGAGATTTGTCAACTTCTTTACTTAAAAAAAATGACAGTTGCTCATCCTAGCCTTCCCTTTGTACATGAGTTCCCATGTTGGATGTCTTTTTTTGGATTTAATATAAATGTGTATTACTTGCATGGGGACTCTTGCCTTAAGGAGTGTAAATTTGATCTGCATTTGCTGATTTGTAAAATAAAATGAAAATTTGAAAACCTAAGATGGCTGTCTCTTGCAAGTCTTTGTTGTAAAAATCTTTTCTGTTCCACATTGGAAGTGTGGAAGGTATTTCATTTTACTGCTTTGGCGTTTGTTTTACATAAAACTGTGAATTGCTCTTTGAGGGTCATCACATTGACAACTCAGGAGCAAACTTCCCTAAAATTCTTCACAATGGAACCAAGCTAGCTCCCCCTACCATCCAAGTACTGGGGGAGAGTTACAGCTAAACACAGAGGGAAGGGGATACCCCAGGAGTAAGGAGGAGGATATCAACATACTTTCTAATTAGAAATATTCATGAGTCATTTGTAAAATGTGTCACTTATCTTTGGGTACTTGATATTACCATTGCATCAGCTCTTTCTGAGCCCGTTTTCACAAACAGTCTCCTCAACTTCCTGTGGGAAATTACTGTGGTGGTAAGCTTCATAGAGCTTCTGAAGGTGGGTATTCGAAACACAAATATGTAGCCAATATATGCTATAGGTATATAAGGGTGTATGTTGAAGACTCAAGTTTTGGTGATCAGGTGATGCTGTTTCAGTATTTCTAATTAATGTAGTTCTGACATGGGATGCTTCAGTCTCTAGTGCTTTACTCAGCTTATGGGGGACTATTATGAACTGCACAGTCCCAATCTGTACAGCTATTCTTGGTGGGTTTTTTTTTTAAGTACCTGATTTCTTCAAATTATTTCCCATGTTGCCTGCTCTGCACTCTGGTACCCAACAGGGAATAGACCCCTCCTTCTTTTATAGTTGCTTTTTAGTATTTTTGATTGTGGAATGTGTCTTAACCACATAGACAGGTAAAGGAAAGGTGGTTTGCTAAGTCCCATAAATAGCCCCATTAGGAGGAATAGGGCTGTGCCAAATTTTAAAGCTCAGCATGCATTTTATTGCTTTGTTGAAAAAAAGCTATTAATCTGAATGTCTGCCTCAGAAAGTGCATCTTCTGCCTACTTCAGCACAGGAACAAAGTACATGCTGATTCATCACAGTGGAGCAACTTCATATCATTTTAAAAATAGAAAATTAAAAACAAAGTCTCCAGCTTCCTGCTAATGGAGAGAGCCTACTGAAATGAGTCTGAACACTTAGCACCTTGCAGGATTAAGACCCATGTATTTAATCTGAAATACCTGAAGTCTGTCTGTTCACTTATGAGGCCTACATCAATTAGTTATATAAGGTGATACAGCTAATTTTTCATGAGACAGTTTCTTCAAGATGATGATTTAAATATTTCCTGAGAATGCTTACAGAGATGAAGCGGTACATGTGGCTCGAAGGATAACCATAAACAGCTAGATAAGTAGCATTCTGCACACCTCTTTATCCTCTGCATCATCCTCTATAGAGGATTAGCTATGCTGAAGCTAAGCATTAGGCTTTAATGCCAAACAGTTGCTTTGTCTAATGATACATTTCTTGGTGCTGCATGATGAAGCCATTCACCAGCTTGGTCCTTCTTAGCTTCCTTTTCACCATCCAAAGTAAGTAATTTCAGTTCTTGCTCTCTGCTTTATCATACATAGTGTGTTTAGTGCTTGCTCTTTCCAAGTTTGGAGTATGCTATTGTTTTAATGAATCTATGTGATGCAGGTATAATAAAAGCAGTTCTAGGGTAGGTATACATTCTGCTGGTACCTCCTTGTACCTCCATGAAGATTCATACAGCATCTGCTACCTTTTAAATGAATATTAACAAGTTGCTTTTTAAAAAGTGTTCTGTTGCTTAACTTCAGTTAAGAACCAAAGACCACAGCCCTGTAGGTAAAGCTTGATAATTGGCAGGCTTGTGTTGTTAGATGCTAAATATCCATTTTTCATCCCAGAATTCAGATCTACAGACCTGGGGCAGGGAGGTTATCCAGCTGACATTCAGGAATTTACAAAATGAAGAATTTTGCATTGGGTGAAGTTAAAATGGTTCTGCTTCAAAGAATGGGATTAGAGCTGATGTTCAACTTTTTTTGTAAATAAGACTTATGTTTATTTTTAACTGCTCGCAGGTGAAGCACTGCAGTGCTATACATGTGTAGGCATGAGTGATGAAGAATGTAATAGGCAAGGAACTGAACACTGTCCAGGATACTCTGATGCCTGCGCAATAATCAGAGGACAGTCACGTAAGTGGCTCTATAATGATATATGTATAATCCAAAGTGCCACATTAGATGATTTCTAATAAAGAAGCCTAGGAGCACTTGGGTAACGAGTCCTACCTGCAGTTGTTACTCCAGTTTAGGATAGATGCCTTGAATCAGTGGAACCTGCATAAGCATTGATTTAGTAAACTCCATGCATTCAGTGGCTCCATATGAAGGATTAATCATGGTATGTTGTCCCAGAATACGTGCAAGAAAAGACCAACTGTTAGATTATACAGTGAAGGAAAAATACGTTTTGATTATTTTTCCATCCACTTTTGTCTGTCCACAAACACAACTCTTAGTTTCTCCTCTCACTGGGGTGGAGAAGACAAATTTTAATCCAGATACATTTTGACTGTGTCACATGTCTTAACACTCTCTTGTCTTGGAAAAAAACAAACACTGTTATGTTCTCAAAGAATTGTGTGCAAGTGTTATGTCTTCTGAAATCTGCTTAGAAATTGGGAGTGATGTTTGACCATAATTAGGAGAATGGAGCTATAATATATAATGGCTGAAATCCAATAGTAAACTGCAACTACAGCCAGTCCATGGAATCAATGGAATGCATACAGGAGTTGACTCACCAGATCCCCATTGATCGTTAAAACTTAGTACTAGATTTCAGTCATAGTCTACTTTTTTTAGATAAAGTAGAAGAGAAGGTAATAGAAACTAAGAAAGTCAATCTACATAAGAGAGAAGTTTGTTTCCAATTAAGTGTGTGGACAGCTAGCTAACTATCCATCACTGATTGATTTATTATCAACAAAATATGCAGAAAAAATCAAATCTTTTCAGAAAGCCAGGTTAGAAATGATTTGTTTCTTACATTGCCTTTGTCTTTGCCTAGGGTAAGCTGTTTGAGGAAGCAAGCCTGGATGTTCCCATTCAGGCTAATAAGATAAAGAACCAGATAAGCATGGATGGCATAATATGTTTTGGATTCGCCTCTGAATCTATTCTAGGTGGCATTATGAAGTCCTGTTCCTATAAGTCTTTCTGTGAGCGAGCACGGAGGGAAGGTTCCCGAGCACCTGGAGTGAGTGTTCACTGCTGCTATTCGAACAACTGCAACGTCAGAGGTTTGGGCTCAAGAAACATCCTCTCAACGAGCTACTTCTCCCTACTTTTCTCCGCTATCCTGTGGCACCTGCTTTTTAACTTGGAATGAAATTTGAAAAGAGAAGGACGGAGAGGAAGTTCTTAAGTCACAGCTACACAGCTGTATTTCAGCTAAAGGGTGGGTGGGTTGGGGGCAAGATCACACATCCTTGTGAACTTAACACAAATGTCAAATTCAGTAGAAAGTGGAAGGTATTGGTGAGGAGAGAACAAAAAGAGACCTATATACTAAAACTGAGTTATTGTAAACTCCTATTCTAGGAAACAGGGATTTGGATGATTGGCAAATTATGTTATACTGTTGGTTCTTCAAAGACCAGTGATCCTAAGCTTTGTTGTTCAGGGAAGGACAAAGAAGATCAAGTTAAGATAGTTAAGTCCTGTTCATTAGAGAAAAAATGATCATCATTCTGGCTTGCCCGCCCCCTGACAACTACAGTATAGACATCTGGAGTAAGCCATTGTAAGAGCAAGGAATAAATTTAATCTGAAATTTACACAGTCAGGTCCCAAGAGGCTTGTCTGAGCAAAAGAAGGTCACCGCTCTCCCTGTCTTGCAAGTGAGGTGCCCCCTCCTGCTTAGACCCATGGGCCAACCTGGGCAGGGTTCCAGATTGCACAGATGCCTCCAGCTGTACACCTGGTGACTTCTTCATTCCAGCCATTCATGTTGTATGTGTTGACTGTTTATGCTATGTGTGTTGGCAAGGCAAACCAACATGCAGAACATTAGAGTACACCAACCCAGCAGAGCTCCAACTACACACTGATTCCATAATTATTTCTTATGAACAGAGCTGATCCCTCATCGTAGTAACTGCTTAAAATTAATAGCTTCTTGGAAGGCAAAAAGACAACCCATGCATCTTAGTTTTACACTATCCAGGGTATAACTTTGGTATATGTAGCTCTGCATATTTGACAGCATACTATTCTGAAATTAATTCAGGGTTTTAAAAATGGCCTTGTGACACTGCATAGACTTAAACACAAATGTGGCTGAGATAGAAGTATAGCTTTATCTGGATGATCCCTGTTGTTGAAGTTGCAAAGCAAGATTAACCAGTGACACCATTTCCAGTCTATAGACCTTTTGGGTTTTCTTCTTAGACCATTTTACCTGGGAGTGGATGCATGGGAACTTATTTCCAAGCACGCAAATATAAGATACATAGCAGTCTTAATGACCATCTTCCATGTAACCAATTACTCATTGCTTTATTTGGGTGGAGTTAAAGAATGTGCCCCCATGTCAAATTGGGTTCTCCTAGGCCTTCAGGTCATCCAGATGTTCTATGCAGCAAACATATTAAAAGGGGATGCCAATATAGCAAGAATGGATAACTTGTGGTTCTCCAAATTTTGTTAGATTACAATTTCCATCTAGTTGGTATTCGATGGAAGTTGCAGTTCAACAATATTTGAAGGGTCAAATGTTACCCACCATTGCCCTATATGTTTGTCTATGAGAGTAAATTATCCCATTAATTTCAACCTGTTCCTCCAAGTGGTTCAAATTTATGCAGAAGCTAATTTTGTACACTTTTATACATATTAAATGTACTTTGTGAATATGAATTTATATTTAGAAATCATACCAAGAATCACATGGGTGATTTCAGTTACTGTACAGTCTACTTTGGATAATAATAATAACAGCCAGATCAGGAAAATCATGTATTCTCTGCAGAAGGGGCAAAGAGAAGTTACAGCCATTT